AAAGTATTGAATGGGCTAAAATGAATAGGGGTCAATAATTTATGCATATTTTAATTTTCAGGCAATAAATACTCAGACTAGTAAGTACAGTACTAATTGGCTAAGGGTAAGCAAGCTACACGAAATTTGACACTTCTGCAATTTGGTACAACATCCAGTTCTAAATGTTTTAGATTACATCGAAAGATGTCATTTTTGGTATAACCTTAAAAAAAACTAATGATCAATTTTTTAAAATAGTGTTAAGGCATGAATTTTGCATGGTATTTTCTTAGTATTATTACAAAATATTATCATTCATTCCCAGCTAAGAGGTATTATTTTCTATTTTTGGCCTAGCTCTTTAAACAAGTTGTAAAATGATTTCAATTAATGCTTATTCTATTTTACATTTAAAACTTTTATAAGTGGTAGACCATTTCGCTGCCATTTTAAACACTCTTATTAATCCATTTAGAAACCAGAGTTCTGGCTATAAAAAAATTGCCTTCACTTCTATCAAACATTCACACGGCTCTTCTCTATATTCACCAAAGAAAAATTATTAACATTAAATTATTACCATTTACTGGCTAACGAAATTATTTGCGTTTTAAACAATGCATACTACTTACATATTAGCTCAAGTAGTTTAAGTAATATGCTTAATTTTCTTTAAACACTTCAGATAAAGTCGCTCGGCTCTAATACAGATTACTTCGATCAGGCCGCCTTGCATGCGGTCCCATCAGACAGGAAGAATTTTATAAACCCTGCTCTTGGGATTCCTGACCCTAGCTCAGTGTCCAAAGCATCTATCGTTGCATACCCTTCGCCAATCTCATCTACCAGCCAGTTTGATTTATTTCGATTGCTCAACCAAGACCTCTCCTCGTCTGCATTCAGGCCTGCTCTGCCCTCATTTTTATCTCGAGCCAAATGTGGTCTTCATGGCCTTGCTGATGCATCCACAATTTTTCAGTCCAAACTACCCGAAGATATTCAGCTTTTTGCGCCAAGTGGCCGCAACCCTCGGCTACACGATGAACGTTCTATCGGTATCAATTCTTCTAAGGGCGAAAGTATTGAATTGGCCCAACTAGAACCAGACATTTATCATCATCCCACGAAATTTTCTCCCGATGTCTATAACCCTCAAGAGTGCAATGTGGACTGCAAACATGAATTTCGGCCCCTTCCTCCACTAGAGGATATTGGAATGCATTGGCGAGACATCGATCACTGCCAAGAGCCTTCATATCTTTCTGTCAATCACGGCATTGTCACCGGATCAGACATTTTGCACACAAATAAGGTCAGTAGTCATACTGAATTAGCATGTCTACAAGTAAAATGCGACTCTAAAGCTCCAACGTCTGGTAGATCGAGACGCCCAAAACCGGAAACTATGACAAGCAATTGTGATTCTAAAGCTTCTGAGGCTCGAATACAAACAAATAGGTACACCACCTGCCTCCAGTCCACCGGAGCTTGGCCTCAGGCTCGTGGATCTTTAAACCAAGCTGAGCAGGCTGGATCAATCCGGGATGCGGGAGTCTCTATCGAGAAGAGGAGACGATCGACGAGTAAGTTACTGGATCGACTCGGAACGAGGAGTGAAGCGAAACGAGCTCGAAAGACGGCACTTTCAGGATGGAAAAGGTCAAACAAAGAAAAGCATATCAGGTTGTCCAAGGGGCTGGACGAAATTAAAGATAATGGTCCCGTTCTTGAGCCCAGGACATTATCTTTTTCAGGAGTTGGGAATCCCCCCCAATCTTCTTTAACCCCCTCTACTCCTCGCTCACCCTGCCTCTCTCCATTCTGCTCCTCCCCCTCATTAACTTCTTCCTCTTCCTTCTCCTCAGCCTCCCCAGTATCTTTCCTCTCCTCCTCCTCCTCTTCTTCCTCCCCCTCCTCTTCCTCCTCTTCCTCCTCCTCTTCCTCTCCTTCCCCCTCCTCCTCCTCCTCCATCTCGCATCCGGACGTCACTCTCACCATTGTCAGCGAAGCAACAGAATCCGCCATCCGTTTAGGCGGACGGATTCCAGAGAATCCAGAAATGATAATCTCTGCGGCTGCAGCTGCCAGAAAGTCTGGAAAACGCCAACTTAACGAAGCAACAAAGGCGCTCAGGCAGACAATGCAGTCTATGAGTTCGGCGAAATCTAGTCAATCCAAATAGATAAAAAGAGTATCGGCAATACATTAACGAATTCGCTAGAGCATATGAGTCTGTCTAGTCTAAGAAATGGTCATCCACATTTCTTGAAAGCTTTCTATGCTGGCATATTGTCTTCCTTCAGACTCGAGACAGCCCGCGTTCATTAGGACAGTTCACACAGGCCTGAGAGAGAATATCCTCTTTAGGTTTTGGCCTTGTGAGGACCTCTTTTTACAATCACTGATCGTTGTCCGATCTGTGCATGCTGACTTCGCATAATTTGTATCAACTTTAAGTTGCTTCACTCTTTAGCACTGTAACATTTAAAAAGTATTTTATACATGCTTTGTTTTTTCATCTTATATACTTAAGCTGAGGATGGCTTAGCAGAATTATTGATAAAATTGTTCATATTAATTTCCACATTTTCCTATCAAACTGTATAACAAAGTCGTTTACTGAAGTAAACCTTTGAAAATTTTTTCCTGAAACTGTTCTGCCAAAATGGATACCGTAGTTTCAAATACAAGTTTGAAATCCAGAAGACATTCGCAGGAGGGCGAATAGACTTAATCACGGGCAATGCCAACCACCTATATGGTATTACTTTTATGCCGAAAAGGGGCTTTAATCCTTCACCTGTAGGTGAGATGCTTTTGTCTCAAAAAACGACTACCATATAACCAAATGATTTGAGCTCAACAAAGTTTCGAAGTGGCAATATTTTTGGCCTTCACTTACTCATCTAATCATATGCAGTATACAAAACTG